TCCTACAGAAGGGCCTCCCTCAAAAGAGGAAGGGGTCCCCCTTCTGACCCGGAGGAGACGAGTGGCGCTGCTCCCGTCAAGGGGGCAGTCCACAAATCCAAACGCGGACGGAGCCGGCCCCTCAGTTTTGAGATAACTGACGCCGAGGTGGCCGCGTCACTGCGTGCAGCGAGAGAGGCAAGGGCCACCATACCATCCGGCCCGGCCCATCTCTCGCTGATCGAGACGGAGGAGGACCAGACCAGCGTTGCCCTCAACAAGTGTGTAGAGGCATCGCTGAAGACAATAGTTGACGTGGCGACCAAGTCCTCCAACATAAAGGGGACGTTGGTGAAAGCGCTGAAGGAGGCGGCGGCAAACATCAAGGCCGCCGTCTCCCAGCTAAGGGAGCGGACGATGTCGGAGGAGGTGGCGCGGCTGGAAACAGCAAATGCGCGCCTCCACAAAGACATGGAGGAGCTACGGCGCGAGCTCATAGACCTAAAGCGCCGACCGGCCCAGCCCGATGTACCGAATATCCGGCAGCTGCTGGACGAGGTTTCGCGGGCCAACGCGGACAAGTTCAGCAGCATGCTGAACGCCAGGCTGGCGGGACTGGAGGACCGTCTCCTCCCCGAACCGCGGCGTCGGCCCCCGCTGGCGGCGGACGGGAGAGTGGAGGGTGACGGCCCTCCCGCCTCGCTTCCTAAGGCGAGACAGGGGGCAAAGAAGAAGGGACCAACTACCAGGGAACCCCTGCCCACAACACCGGGCACCGGGGCCCTTGATCGGGCGTCAACTTCGGCGGCGGCCCCAGGCAAGGCTCCGTCGACTGATGGGCCGCCGCCGAAGGCTCTGCCCAAAAAGAGGAGGAGCAAGAAGAAGCAGCCGAGCCTGGCCGCCAAAGAGGCAGCACAGGCGAGAGACGACTCTGCCCCTACGCCCGCCGAGGCCACGTGGGCTACGGTCGTGGCACGCGGGGCGAAGAAAGCGGCGAAGAAGACGACGGCCAAGGGGCCGAACAACACCGGCCCCCCCGAAAGGAAGGTCAAATTACGGGCCCCGAAGACCGCGGCAGTCACTCTCACTCTCGCTCCGGGAGCAGAGGAGAGTGGCGTTACGTATGCCGCGGTCTTAACGCAGGCAAAGAACCGCATCAAACTTGCGGAACTTGGTATCCGGGATATCAAGTTCCGCAAGGCGGCCACGGGCGCCCGAATGCTGGAGGTTGGAGGCGAGGCAGCCTCGGAGAAGGCCGACTCTCTGGCCACGAAACTCAGAGAGGTGCTCGGCCCAGAGCTGGTGAGGGTTGCCAGGCCGGTGAAACGCGCCGAACTGCGCGTCACCGGCCTCGACGACTCTGCCACCGTTGCCGAGGTCGTGGAGGCAGTGGCCAGAGAGGGAGGTTGCGTGGCCGACAACATAAGGCCGGGCAGGCTCGTTTTCGGCCCGAGGGGAGATGGCTCCCTATGGCTGAGCGTGCCGGTGGCGGCCGCCAAGAAGGTGACCGACGCCGGCCGCGTGAGGGTCGGCTGGACCTCGGCCAGGGTGGTGCTGCTCCCCTCGCGGCCGACGAGGTGCTTCCGCTGCCTCGAGACGGGGCACATGGGTGTCACGTGCCCGTGTGAGGTGGACCGCAGCAAGCTTTGCTTCCGCTGCGGAAAGCCGGATCACCGGGCACGGGACTGCTCGGCGGACCCGAACTGCCCCGTCTGTGAGGCGGCGAAGAAACCGGCGGGCCATTCTGTCGGCGGCAACGGCTGCGTCGCAGCCGGACAAAAACCGGCGCATGGAGACAGAGGTGCGCCCAACAGAAGACCGCGGCGCACTAACAAGAAGGCCGGAGTGGAGCAGATGGACACCAGTTCCTAATTGGCCTCCATCTGCTCCATCTCTGGAACGGTGGAAGCGGCGGAGCGGGCGCGGGAAGACATAGTGTCGACCCGCCACCAACCCGCCGCAAGAGATCGGGGCGTCGCCGCTGCCTGGCGCACATAGTGGCGCCGGACAGCGCGCCGCGTTGAGAGTGGGACCCGCGGGCGGCGAATCGGGGTTCGCCGCCTGCATTGCAGGGGTCTCGAGCTGTAGGACTCCCCACGTGTTCCGGGGGGTCCTCGGCGAAGGTCGACGGCGCCTTCTGCCGAAGGCGTCGTCGCAAAAGTAGGGCCTGCCACATTCTCATGTGGCGGGCAATTCGCAGACGGGGTTATGGTTGTGTGCCATTGCGTTCCCACAGCCCCGTCCCTAGCGGGAAGG